GTCCTCTATAACCATTAACCGTTGACCTATAACCTATGCCTCTATTTATTACTAAACCTAAGGCATGCATATTACATTATATTATAATGACATTCACTCATTAAGCCATGGTCTTATGTAAGATAGAAAAAAAAGTCTTGAAATCTGATGACTGACCGCCTCTCAGGCATAACTCAGCAAAACGGAGAAAGAAGAATGACAGACAACACATCACCCTTCATTGTTGTTTTCCTCTGAAATTACTTCATCTAGCCTTGCAAAGAAAGATTTGGTGTGAGGGCTCATTCTCTCAAATATTGTCAAAATAATGGCGTGAAAGTTCTAAGACATCTTTTTGGATTCTTTCTGAATACAGCCTAGTTTTTCTTTTCATTTTACTTATGAGCTGCTGCTGGTGTTATGGAGCCACATGCACTACTGCTACTGCTACAACTAATATTACTATTATTACTTCTACTACTAAACAAGAACTACAGCAACTACTACTATTGAACTTACATCTGTGTGAGAGAATCCACTTGCCAGACGCCACTGCCATCATGTATTTAAGGGTACGCTGGCACACTGCTTGATCCTGGATACATTCAGCAATAACATGGGTTACATCAGAGCTGTGAAAAAACATTACCTGTATTCCAGAAAATAAAATTGTCAAAAAAGCAATAAATATCTACATATCTATCTATTTACCTATCTGTAATCACAGTAGTATTAAGAAATGGCTATTGGCCAGTAACATACAGGTGTTTGCATACACTGGCAGTTTCCTCATCTGTGCCCAACTCATTCTATATTTCAAACAAAATATTAGGCACGTTATCACTTGTAGCAGGAGCTTTTAACCAAATGCTTGAAAAAAATTAATGTTTTCCTTCACTTTACATGCCCATATCTAATAGTGACATTAAACAAATAAAGCTATTACTATTGGAGAAGTATATGCTCTCTCCAAGCTAATGGACAGAATGTGTTGTTATGCACTGCCATATGAAATTTAATCTACTGTAGTCTTGACATGATATTATGTCAATTGCTGAGACCGAAGTGGGAAGGGGAAGGGGGAGAGGGAGGCGAAGTTGGGGGGAAAGGGGAGAGGGAGGGCGAAGTGGGGGGAAGGGGAGAGGGAGGGCGAATTGGGGATGGGAAGGGGTAGAGGGAGGATGAAGAGGAAAGATTGAGGGCGAAGGGGGAGAGGAAATAAGAGAGGGTTAAGATTCTACATGACTATTTCCAAGACTTTAACTTTGTTTTTCTTAAGATGATAAATAAATAAACAGAATATCCCTTTCTTTTCACAATCAAAATCTTACTAACATTTCATTTTTATTCTTCCTCACAGAAAAGTCATTTCTCATGTTACAACTGAACTTTCTTCATTAACAGGTCCATTGGGGGGACAGAAGAATCAAAGTTGAATCAAGATTTGATTTTAAATGCATATATAGGTACAGAATTACTTATGTGCATATTACATTACTCACTGAATGCTTTTTAGCTTATTGAGACCTTTGGGGAAATAAAATAATCTTAAACTTGATTATATATTGTTCAGTGAAGTAACCCCCACATGCCAGGGATGGCATCTGAATACATGCCATGCCAATTGTATGTTTTATCATTATGAATATTATTGCTGCAATTAATGTCAATAACACTATAGTAATTATGTCTATAATATAAACAACAGTATCAATACTGATAGCATTAGTAAAAAAAAAAAAAAAAAAAAAAAATCCCAGAAACTCAAGGAAGGTGAAACCAGGTGAGGTCACCCCTTTGTGACTAAGCTCTATGAGCTGAAACATTTCACAATACAGTACTATAGTAAACGTCTTTTCCCAGAGGCATCAGGTTAATAACTAGGAGGGGCCAAGATCACTTTTTTTTCATATGGCATTGGTTACATTCTGAAAGGGAAATATATCTAATCACACTAGAGGCTGGACTCTCTACCAGAAGCTACAGTGAACAATGATTTGTTTTTTTGAAAAAAGTAGAAAAAATACTATCTTGAGTGTGAAATGTTAGCCACTAATGAACATAACGTCTCTCACCCATATCAAGATTACTAAACCATGTTACATGAGAACAAGTGATAAAATTCAATAATAGTGCAAGTCAACAGTTACCTAAACTTAATGATTCTCATGTTCTATGTATGACAGGTAATAATTTTCAATAATGCTGCATTACACTTAAGAGAAAAGAAAAGAATAAAAATATATTTATATACAAAGCAGTTCCATATACCAAGTAAAATAAACAAAGAAAGAAAAAAAGTCTCATCTTTAATGCAAAATTTCATCTGCTTCAATTCAGTAATAAACACATTAGGTGTTTAATAAACTCATAATAAATTTAATTTGACCATCATTACAACTGATAATTGACTCTGTCAAATAATGTTTATTACAGTTTTAATGGCTACCACATATAAGAAGCTCACACAGGTTAATAGCAGAAGTTTGCGGAGAGTAGGTCAATTTACCTAAAATCCAGG